AATTTGGTTGGAGGAATCCGCCCAGGAGCGGTAGCCGCACTTGACCCTAATGAATGCGGACCTCCCTCCTCCTGCTCCTCCTCCTCCTCCTCCTCCTCCTCCTCCTCCCCCTCCTCCTCCCTCCTCCTCCCTCCTCCTCCTCCTCCTCCTCCTCTCCTCCTCCTCCTCCTCCTCTCTCCCCTCCTCCTCATCCTCCTCTTCCTCCTCTCCTCCTCTCCTCCTCCCTCCTCCTCCCCTTGTCCCCTCCCCCCCCTCCCTGCTATGCCTCCTTGCTCCTCCTCCTCCTCCTCCGCCTCCTCCTCCGCCTCCTCCTCCTCCTCCTCCTCATAGTCCTTCCCCTCCCCCCCCCTTCCTACCTCCCTCCCCCCCCGTACCTGCTGGGACGCCGCCCTCGCCCCGCGCCAAGCGCAGAACGCGCCGCGGAGGTCGGAGTCCAAGCGCGCGGCCAGCAACGACGAGCATACGCCCCGGAGCGCCTCCTTCGGGCGCCAGGCGACGCCCCGGGAGGGAGCGGGGGGGGCGAGGGGGGGAAGGGCGAGGCGGGGAGGAGGGGGGGGCGGCGGGGCGCGGAGGGGAGAGGCAACGCCGAAGGACGCACTAGTACTGGTAATCTGCGTCCTCCTCGGAGGCGTGCGTCCGACCCGAACATGTAGCACAACCATCCTATAAAAGATCCATCCCCGAGCGGTACGGCCAGCGCCCACCGTCGAGCATATGCTATAAGATTTCTCGGCGCGCGCGTCGCCCCTTTGGTCGGGTGTTGCTGGAAGTGCCCCTGACCCCAGGGTGCCCCCAGGATTTCCAGGGAGGCCCCCACGGCCTCCAGCGCACCCCATCACGAGGCCCAGAAGGGGCCCCAGGGGCTCCAAAGTCCAGCGAAAAACTGGGAGAGCGCCTTGGCCCAGGGACACCCTCAGCCACCCCCGATTTGGGAGGCGCCGCACCCGGGACGCGCGGGGCGTCGGACAGCGCCGAGGAAGAGGGGGCCCGGGGGGGGGGGCGGGGGGGCACGCCGCCCGCCCTTGCCCCCCGTCCGCGCGGCCTCCTCCGTGGCTGCCAGGAGGCTCTGGGGACGGCCACGCTCCTCGAGCGGTGGGGGCAGCCCAGCCACAGGACGAGACCCTTTCGCGACGAGGGGGGAGGGCCGAAGCGGGAGGCGAGAGCGGAAGCGGGAGGCGAAAGCGGGAGGCGAAAGCAGGAGGCGAGGGTGGGAGGCGAGGGTAGGAGGCGAGAGTGGGAGGCGAAAGCAGGAGGCGAAAAGGCGGAAAGCGAATGCGAGAGGCGAAAGCGGGGGGCGAATGGCGGGAGGCGAAAACAAGGAGGCGAAAGCGGGAACAAAACAACAGAAGGCGAAAGTCGAAAGCGGGAGGCGAAAGCGGGAGGACAAACGAAAGCAGGAGGCGCAAGCGGGAGGAGAAACGAAAGCGGGAGGCGAAAGCGGGGGGCGAAACGAACGCGAGATGCGAAAGCGGGAGGCGAAAAGGCAAGCGGGAGGCGAAAGCGAGAGACGAAACGCAAGCGGGAGGCGAAGGCGGGAGGCGCAACGAGAGCGGGAAGCGCGAAAGCGGGAGGCGAAATCGCCCCTCACGGTTCCCCCCCCTTGCGTCGTGAAAAAAGTCTCGTCCCGTCGTGAGAAGTAGTCCTTCTCCGTCGTGAATTCGTGCCCCCTCCTCCTCCTCCTCCTCCTCCTCCTCCTCCTCCTCCTCCTCCTCCTCCTCCTCCTCCTCCTCCTCCTCCTCCTCCTCCTCCTCCTCCTCCTCCTCCTCCTCCTCCTCCTCCTCCTCCTCCTCCTCCTCCTCCTCCTCCTCCTCCCCCTCCTCCTGTCGTGAGAGGCGTCGCGGTCTTGCCTCGCGCGCGCCCGCAGCTGCGAGTCAAAGCGCGCAGCGCCCGCGCGCCGCGGGCGCGGGTCGCTCGAGCGGGCACCTCCCGAGCCGGGGGCGGCCAAGCAGGGGGGGCCCAGGAGGGGGGGGCGCGAATCATGGCTGGCGGCATGTTCGCGGCCCACGGGTGGGGGGGGGGCCCAGGGAGACGCGCCATGAAATCTGGGGAGATATCATGGCCATGAGATCCCCCCCTAGTCACCACCCCCACTTTTAGCGGGCGAAGAACGGTATAGAAAAAGCTGTTCCGTCGCCCGGGGCGCTGCCCCATTCCGGCTGGAGAGCTTATACCTTGACGTGCCACCATAAGGATATAAACTGTCCAGCCGCCCTGCGACAGGAGCCAGCGAAACAATTTATGTTTTTTTTCGCCTGTGAACTCTTTGCCGCCCCCAGCCGAGCCATCGCCAGAAGCGCTAGGCACGTCGCCGGGGCGCCGACCCCGAAGCACGCCGCGACCTCCGGCGAGGGGCGCGATTCGAGGCAGCGGAAAAGCGACGTGTCGAGAGGGCGGGGGGCAGGATGGAAGAGGCGCGGGGGAGGCAGGCGCAGGGGCAGGCGGACGCGGGGGAGGGGGGGGGAGAGTCGATCCACGCGAGCCTAGAGGCCCGAGCAAAGGAGGGGGGAACAACAACAAAAAAAACTGACGAAAACCTAACCATATCCAGCTGCGAGAACCGCGATGGAGATGCGACGAACGAAAAGGGCATGCAAACCCCGAATAGCGCATCCGGTACACCCTCTGCTCTCATAGGCAACGCGCCGTCGGAAGAACGAGGCGCGGGACAGTGCGAGCAGGGGGGGACGAATGGTTGGGACGTTTGTGAATTCTCGGTGGAGCTCCTCATGGGGCCACGAAACGCTGAACTGGGCGGGGGGGACACATGCGGGCACCCCCACTGGGGCCTTTGGTGGAGCCCCCTATGGGGCCGCGAAACGCTGTACTGGGTGGGGCGGACGCATGCAGGCACCCCCACTGGGGCATTCGGTGGAGCCCATATGGGGCCACGAAGCGCTGACGCACTGCTGGGGCCTTCGGTTGAGTTCCCTATGGGGCCACGAGACGCTGTACTGCGCATGGCGGACGCATGCGGGCACCCCCACTGGGGCTTTCGGTGGAGCTCCCTATGGGGCCACGAAGCGCTGTACTGGGCGGGGGGGACGCATGCGGGCACCCCCACTGGGGCCTTCGGTGGGGCTCCCTTTGGCGGACGCATGCAGGCACCCCCACTGGGGCCTTCGGTGGAGCTCCCTGTGGGACCACGAGACGCTGTACTGGGTGTGGCGGTCGCATGCGGGCGCCCCCACTGGGGCCTTCGGTTGCGCTCCCTATGGAGCCACGAAACGCTGTACTGGGCGGGGGGGGCGCATGCGGGCACCCCCACTGGGGCCTTCCGTGGAGCTCCGTATGGGGTCACGAAACGCTGTACTGGGTGGGGGGACCGCATGCGGCCACTCATACTGGGGACTTCGGTTGGGCTCCCTATGGGGCCACGACGCGCTGTACTGGGTGGGATGGACGCATGCGGGCACCCCCACTGGGGCCTTCGGTGCGGGCACCCCTGCTGGGGCCTTCGGTGGAGCTCCCTATGGGGCCACGAAACGCTGTACTGGGTAGGGCGATCGCATGCGGGCACCCCGGCTGGGCCTTCGGTGGAGCTCCCTATGGGGCCACGAGACGCTGCACTGGGTGGGGGGGACGCATGCAGGCACCCCCACTGGGGCCTTTCGTGGAGCTCTCCATGGGGCCACGAAAGGCTCTACTGGGTGCGGGGGGAAGCACGCGGGCCCCCCCACTGGGGCCTTCCGTGGAGCTCCCTATGGGGCCACGAAGCGCTGTACTGGGTGGGGGGACGCATGCAGGCACCCCCACTGGCGCCTTCGGTGGAGCTCCCTATGGGGCGACGAAACGCTGTACCGCTTGGAGGGGACGCATGCGGGCATCCCCACTGGGGCCTTCGGTGAGCTCCCTATGGGGCCACGAGACGCTGTACTGGGTGGGGGGGACGCATGCGGGCACCCCCACTGGGCCCTTCGGTGGAGCTCCCTATGGGGCGGTGATGATGACGATGACGATGACGATGACGATGACGATGACGATGACGATGACGATGACGATGACGATGACGATGACGATGATGATGATGATGATGATGATGATGATGATGATGATGATGATGATGATGATGATGATGATGATGATGATTGATGATGATGATGATGATGATGGTGATGATGATGATGATGATGATGATGATGATGGTGATGATGATGATGATGATGATGATGATGATGATGATGATGATGATGATGATGATGATGATGATGATGATGATGATGATGATGATGATGATGATGATGATGATGATGATGATGATGATGATGATGGTAATAATGATGGTGGTGGTGATGCTAATGCTGATGCTGATGCTGATGCTGATGCGGACGGATGCGGATGATGATGATGATGATGTTGATGTTGATGATGATGGTGATTATAATGATGACGCTGACGATGGATGATGATGGTGATGGTGGTGGTGATGGTGATGGTGATGGTGATGGTGATGATGATGATGATGGTGATGATGGTGGTGATGGTGATGGTGATGATGATGATGAGGAGGAGGAGGAGGAGGAGGAGGAGGAGGAGGATGATGATAGGAGGAGGAGGAGGAAGAGGAGGAGGAGGAGGAGGAGGGGGAGGAAGGGGGCAGTGGGAGAAGGACGAAGAGTGAACGCGGGGACCGTCTCTTCAAAACGAGGACCCAACACCACAGGATGGTTTTCGGGAGGAAAAAAAGGGCGGAACAAAAAAAACGGGTTCGCGGACGATGGCGCGGGGCCGGTTGGCGGAGCCAGGCCTCCAGACATCGAGCACTGGGACTGCATCGCTCACTTGATGCGCAGTGCAGCGAATCAAGCCTAGGCAAACTCTGTGGCACTGCTTTGTCGAGGCCCTTGGCGAATGGATCTGCGGCCCGTCACCAACCGGTGCCTAACGTGGGCATTGTCGAAACCTGCGCCGCTCACTGTCCGAGCCGCAGGCGTGCTGACTCGAGCACCCCTTGCTCCATCGACAAAAAGGCAAGATGGCCTCGCTCGCTTACCGGCAGGCGGGAAAGATGTACGCTGCTGCGCTGTTCAGCGCGTGTGAACGCGAGGCCCCTGACATCAGCGTATATCCGCCCCCTTCCCGAAAACGTCCAGGAGAATACGGAGCGCGCGCAAACGCCGACATCTTTGTCCGTGTCATCGCGGTCCTCCAAGGGCTTTCACAGCAACTGCCGCAAGCAGGGTGAGAAGGCAATTGGCCCCTCGCCCGAACATCCTTTGGCGCCATGCAAAGTGTGCAGCAACGAACCCGTGGATTTCATGGAACTCCTTGTGACACTCCTCCTCCTCCTCCTCTTCCTCCTCCTCCTCCTCCTCCTATTCCTCCTCCCCCCGCCCCCTTGTCCTCTCCCTTGCCGTCCGCCTCCCTCCTCCCCCTCCTGTTCGTTCCGCTCTCCGCTTCCCGCTGCAGTGGAACGGGCCCCTATGAGACCTCCACAGGAAGGAAGACCAGAGTAAACCCAAGACCCATCAACGATATTGTAAGGAACCCTACACGGATTAATGTTCACTGGGGGAAGCGCCCTGTTCGAAGACAACCGTTTGAAAACCATTTGAAAATCTAGAATGGAACCAGAACACCATTCCTGAGACATCAACGCCGCGAATCACGGTTACTGTTGTCTTGACAACATCGCGAATCAACGAGACTGTTGCACCCTGACATTCCGACGTCGTACCACAGCACCATTTCCGGGGCGTGAACCATGAGAATCCTTGACACTGCGGCAACCGCTTAAAACGAATGCGCGCGGCGTTTAGGCCAGAGCCACATGCTGAAAAGGAACCGTCCTCCTTCCGTGAAACTCAAGCATTTAAGACGTATGCGCGCGGCGCTGAAACGAGAGCCACAACTTGGACAGGGAAAAGTTATCTACTACAAGGAGAAGGGATGGGGGAGGAGGGGGAACAGGGGGAGGAGGAGGAGGAGGAGGAGGAGGAGGAGGAGGAGGAGGGCGAAGGAGGAAGAGGAGGTGGAGGAGGCGAAGGAGGAGGAGGACGAGGAGGACGACGAGGGGGGGGGCTCCTCGCGCCGCGAGAAGACCGCGCTGGCGGCCGCCGCCAGCGGCTCCACGGCGGCAGCCCGCTCGGCGGCTGCCCGCTCGGCGGCGGCCCGCTCGGTGGCGGCCTGCTGCGTCGCCGCCCACCGCAATCGCCGTCGGCAGGCGCCGTCGCAGGGAGCCCACCACGAGGCGCGTCTGGCCGCGACTGGGCCCCCGCCGCCCGCCCCAGCGGGGAGGGCGAGGCAGAGGGGACCTGAGAGGGGGTGGAACAGAAGGGGAACGGGGGGAGGGGGAAGGGACGGGGAATAAGGTCAACGGGGGAACAGGAGGGAGGGAAAACTGTCCCTGCTCCTGCACCTCGCTTCCTCCTCCTCCTCCCCCCCTCCTCCTCCTCCTCCTCCTCTCCTCCTCCTCCTCCTCCTCCTCCTCCTCCACCTCCAACTCCACCTCCTCCTATTCTTCTTCCTCCTCCTCCTCCTCCTCCTCCTCCTCCTCCTCCTCCTCCTCCTCCTCGTCCTCTCCTCCTCCTCCTCCCCTCCTCCTCCTCCTCCCTCCTCCTCCTCCTCCTCCTCCTCCTCCTCCTCCTCTCTCCTCCTCCTCCTCCTCCTCCTCCTCCTCCTCCTCCTCATGCTCCTCCTCCTCCTCCTCCTCCTCCTCCTCTCCTCCTCCTCCTCTCCCTCCTCTCCTCCTCCTCCTCCTTCCTCCTCCTCCTCCTCCTCCTTCCTCCTCCCTCCTCTTCCTCCTCCTCCTCCTCCTCCTCCTCCTCCTCCTCCTCCTCCTCCTCCCCCTCCTCCTCCTCCTCCTATTCTTCCTCCTCCTCCTCCTCCGTGGACGAGAATGTCGGTGTCGCCTTGGCGATGCCAGAATGCATCCTCTTCGGGATGGCACTGGTTCGTTAGTGTCTATTGTGCAAATCTGGTTGATGGCGTGGGCCCTATGTCTTATGTACAGCTCAGGCACTGGCTTGACACTTGCTCATGTGGTGTCTCTTGCTTGGGGGCGACCATTATGATGTGTTGTATGTGGTACTCCTCTCTCTTGGCGTGCAGCACGGCGGCGTCGTTATAATACCGTATTCTTATCACTCAACGAACTGTTGTTCACAACGTGTACGTGGTCAGCACCAAACAGGCAAGGCGCAGAGCTTCAGCCCCCCAGCAGGTTTCCATGGAAGGGCCGTAACTTCTCTCTCGCCGCTGGCACCAACAAGAACATGAAATCAGCAGTTATTCTTTATGAATGAAAGTTCAACCACAACAACAACCACCACCGCCACCACCATAACAACAACAGCAACAACAGCAGCAGCAACAACAACAGCCACAACAGTCACAGTCACAACCTCAACCACAACCACAATACAATCAAGAACTATACCAACAAACATAACGACAGCGACAACAACGACGACGATAACAACAATAATTCGCCGGCCCAACGGGCCAGGGCGTGCTAAGATCTCCGGTAACTGGTTAACAGTATTAACAGTATTTCTAGTTCGCGCGCGCGGGGCGGCCCCTGGGGGTCCCCCGGCGAAAAGTACCCCGACCAACGCCCGGTCGCCGCCCGGTCGCCGCCCGACCGCCGCCCGACCGCCGCCCGACCGCCGCCCGACCAAGTCTACTCAGAGATGGTTTTCCTTCTGGGTGCGGCCTCTCAGGCTCCCCAGAGCGCGCTCAGAGTGCCCCAAGAGGCCCCCAAGACTGCCCAAGAGGCCCCCGAGACGCCCAAAGAGCGCTCGAAGACGCCGAAGATGACCCCAAGACGGCCCAAAAGGCCCCCAAGACAGCCCAAGAGGCCTCCAAGACGCCCCAAGAGCCTTCCAAGAGGCCTCCGAAGAGAGCCCCAAGAGGCCAAAATCGTTGATTTCATTGGTTTTTTCGATGTTTTTTGTGTTCTGGCTTTTTCGGCTTCCGGACGCTCCAAGACGGCCCAAGAGGCCCCCAAGACCGCTCCAAGACGGCCCACGAAGCTCCCAAGACGGCGCCGAAACGACCCAAGAGAGCCCTCAAGACGGCCCAAGTGCCGCCCAAGACGGACCAAGAGGCCCCAAGACGGGCCCAAGAGGGACTCAGGAGGGATACCGAGAACTCAAAAATGGAGCCCTCCGTCCCAGAAGGCGCCCAGGAGGTCCCAAAGAGGCCCCAAGAGGCCTCCAAGAGGCCCCAAGATGTCGCCAAGAGGCCCCAGGAGACTCCCAGGAGGCCCAAAAGAAGCCCCAGAAGGCTTCAAACATGTCTCCCAGGCGCCCCCGAACGGCCTCTCAACAGACCCCAAGAGGCCCCCCAAAGAAGCATCTTGACGACGACTCTATTTCGCCCCATCGAGAGACGACCCCCAGGGAACTGCTTCACCATCAAAACTCCCCACGCAACGCGTCCGAACGACACCCGCCCCCAAGAGCGCAACATGGGCAACGAACACACAGACAAAAACCAGCGATGCCATATCACGGGCCGGCGGAATGAGCGAAGCGATTCAATAACAACATCGAAAACAGCATCAACGACATCAGTCTCATCATCAGCAGCAGCATCATCAGCATCAGCACCATGACCATCACCATCAACATCGTCAGCAACACCATCAGTAGAATCAGCAGCAGGGTCATCATCACCACCATCATCAGCATAAGCATCAGCATCAGTAGCATCACCAGCATCATCATCATCATCATCATCATCAGCAGCATCAGCATCATAAGCATCATCATCACCAGCATCATCAGCATGACCATCAGCACCATCATCACCACCACCATCATCATTGTCATCATCATCATCATCAGCATCATCATCAACATCATCATCATCATCAGCATCATCATCATCATCATCATCATCATCATCAGGATCATCATCATCAGCATCAGCAGCATCATCGTCTCATCGTCACATCATCGCATCACATCAGCATCAGCATCGCATCATCAGCATCCAGCAGCCAGCATCAGCATCAGCATCAGCATCAGCAGCATCATCATCATCATCATCATCATCAGCATCATCATCAGTATCATCATCATCAGCATCAGCTCAGCAGCATCATCGTCATCATCGTCATCATCATCAGCATCAGCATCAGCATCAGCATCAGCATCATCAGCATCAGCAGCAGCATCAGCATCAGCATCAGCATCATCATCAGCATCAGCATCAGCAGCATCATCATCATCATCATCATCATCATCATCATCATCATCATCATCATCATCATCATCATCATCATCATCATCATCATCATCATCATCACCCTCGTGTCCTCCCCTCCCTCCTCCCTCCTCCTCCCCTCCCCCCTCCGCCCTCAGCGGGCCCGTTCTCCCAGCCGGCCTCCGCCAGCTCCGCAGAGGCCCGGCGGCCCTCGGCACGCAGCTCGTCCTGGAGCGAGGGTCGGGGAGGGGAGGGGAGGAGGGAGGGGAGGCGAGGGGGGGGGGAGGTCGGGGAGGGGAGGCGAAGGGGGTGGGGGGGGAGGCGAGGGGGAGAGGGAGGGAGGCCAGGGGAGGGTCGATGCGAGGAGAGGGCGGGGGGGGGAGGCGAGGGGGAGGAGGAGGGAGGGAGGCGAGGGGGAGGGTCGAGGCGAGGGGAGGGAGTGGAAGGGGAGGGGAGGGAGGGAGAGGGTCGAGGCGAGGGGAGCGTCGAGGCGAGGGGAGGGCGAGGTCGAGGCGAGGCGAGGGGGTCGAGGGTCGGGGAGGGAGGGGAAGGGAGGCGAGGGGGCGAGGGTCGGGGAGGGAGGGGGGGGGAGTGAGGCGGGAATGACTGGCAGGAGAAAAGCCCTCAGAAGCATGCCGCGATCGCGGGGTCAGGTGGTTGAAAACGACTTCGGTCTTGATGAACAGAGTGCCGGGGCCGAGTTGACGCTTCCTCTCGTCCTGGCGAACGAAAGGTTGGAGCTGAACTGAAGATTGCTGTCAACTGAACGAACGTAGTCTTGGGGCCGAGGTGACGTCTGAAGTGTCCAGGCCGAGTTCAAGACCGTTGTGGGCGCTTCTCCAGACATGCGCAGTCTCAGCCACTGGGCTGGACTCAGGCAGCGATCACGAAGTCGCACTCTGGGAAAAAGATGCGCCACCGCTCGATGGCCCCATACCGGTTTGAGGATGCTCAGTAAACTGCTTCAGGATTTCGTATCCACGATCGCGCAGATCGCTTCAGTAATCTGCACAACGTGAGGGGAGGAGGGAGGAGGGGAAATCAAGAGGGGGAGGTGTGAGGGGAAGAAGGGGGGCCGCGAGACAGCCCAAGAAGGCCCCTAGACGGTCCAGGACGGCCCCAAGAGACGCTCAAGCTGGCCCAAGAGGGCCAAGGACCCAAGAACGCGTTCGCAGGCCTCCTGACGGCCAAGATGGCCCACCGACGAGCGCAAGAGATCCCCCAGGCAGCCAAGAGGGCTCAAGACGGCCCAAAGTGGCCCAAGGGCCCCCCGAGACTGCCCCACAGAAGCCCAAGACAGGGCAAAAAAAGGGAGGAAGACAGCGAAGGCGAAAAGAAAACCCCCAGCACAACGAGGAAGAGTGTTTGAGGGGCAACGAAAGGGGGGATAGGCATAGGGGGGATGCATCGACCTGGAATCGGCGATGCATCGTCGATAGATCGGCGATAGGCCCCCGATCGTGAATCCGCACCTTCCTGGGCGGGGTGGGGCAATCGGGGCCCTATCGGCGATCAATCGGCGATTGTGGGTCGATGCATCCCCCCCTATGCCTATCCACCCCTATCGTTGCCCCCGAGTGTTACACACAACGGCTCTCGGGACACGAGGCGTCACACGTCAGCGGCCTGCAAGTAAGCAACAGCAAAGAACCAGGCCGCAAGGTCAAACGTGCTCGAAAAAGCTAATTTGGATAACGGGGGAGCTCGCTGCCACGGCGGAGGAGGGAGAAGGGAGGCGGGCGGAGGAGGGAGGAGGTCCTCCTGCCTCCTTCTCCTCCTCCTCCTCCTCCCTCCTCCCCGTCTCCTGCTCCTCTTCCTCAGTATGTGTTGTGTTCCTCCTCCCCCTCCTCCTCCTCTCCTCCTCCCTCCTCCTCCTCCTCCTCACTCGCTCCTCCTCCTCCTCCTCCTGCTCCTTCCTAATCCTCCCTCCGGCCTCCCTCCTCCATTCCTCTCCCTCCCCCTCCGCGGAAAGGGAACCATAAGAGAAGGGTAGGCATGGGCCAGCGCGACTACCCCGATCTCTAACAGTCGACTCCGTAATCATAAGGATGTGCGCGATAGGATCTAATGGCCTTGAACGCCCATTTCCGGCTTTTCGAGCGAGGCGCGGCCAACGAACGTGACCAAGGGATGGCCGCGGAGGTAAGGATGCAGGGGTAACCTTGGGAAGGTTGCCCATGCTTACTGTGCAGGTTTTACTGTCCCCCCTTCTTTCTTCGCCCCCCTCCCCACGGCGAGCGGCCGAAGGCCTGCTGGGGGAGGGGGGGGGACCGGCTTGGCGCCGCCCCCCCCTCCTCTCGGGGGGCGTCCTGCTGGGAGTGCGCCAGGCGGAGGGGGGGGGGGGGGGGGCAAATCATGGCCAGCGGCAGGAGGAGGCAGAGGAGAAGGCGGAGGAGGAGGAGGACCAGTCGAAATCCAAGAGGCATCAACGATGTTGGAATAAGCCCTCCCTCCAAGCTCCCTCTTCACAGGCCCCTACGAGGGTTCATTTCCATTGAAAGAACTGCCTCTTTGGAAGACAACCAGTTGAAGACCCTGAAGCATGCCAAAACGTTGTTCTCGGGATTCCAACGCCACGGATCAACCTGACTGTCGCGTCTTGACAATCCTTCATCGTGCCAGAACACCGTTCCTGGGACTTCAACATAACGAATCAATATAACTGTTGCACCCGCATAATCCTTAAATCCTGTATCCTTTCAAAACACCATGTCTGACACGTTGATGATGGGAATCCGTGAAACTCTTGCAATGTTTTAAAAGAATGTGCGCCGCGCTTAGGCAAGAGCCACACTTTGAAACCCACCCGCCCTCCATCTGTGAAACTGTTGCCAACGTTAAAGCTTCAGAATCATGAATGGTGAAGAAGTCTCAGGCGAAACGCCCGGCCCGCCCTAAAAACTGGCCTCGGGGTGCGACAGGGAGAAGTTATGTATAAGGAGAAGGAATGGAGTAGGAGGAGGGGGGGGCAGGGGACTGTGTTGAAACAAGAAGAGGCGCCATGAAAGTTGGGGAGGCGCCATGGCCAACGCCAGGATATCCCCCTCCTGGGCATCACACCCCTCGTGGTCGCCCCCGATCCTCCCCGCTCCTTCACGATGCGGCAGCTCACGGTCTCACGCCTGCGACACGGACATGGGACGTCTTGTTTTTCCAAATATCATAAGATGGGGTTCTTGTTATTACTTGGACGCCTCCTACTCCCTCTCCCTCCTCCTCTTTCCTCCTCCCCTCCTCCTCTTTCCTCATACTCAGCCCTACTCGTACTCAGACTTACTCATACTCAGACTTACTCATACTCAGACCTACTCATACTCAGACTTACTCACACTCAGACATACTCATACACAGACTTACTCATACACAAGCTTACTCACACCCAGACGTACTTATACACAGACTTACTCATACCCAGACTTACTCATACACAGTATTACTCATACTCACACTTACTCATACCCAGGCGTACACATACACAGACTTTCTCATACACAGACCTACTCATACCCAGACTTACTCATACACATACTTACTCATACACAGACTTACTCATACTCAGGCATACTCATACTCAGACCTACTCATACTCAGACTGACTCAACACACATCAGATTTGGAGGATGTCTCAAGCGGGGCGCTGGTTTCAGCACCCCTAAGGGGAGCCGCCAGGAGTGTTTGCACGGGCCCGGTCGCGGCCATTTTGTGGGGATGTCTCAGGCGGTTTGCTTGTTTCTGGGCTCAACATCCTTCGCTTGGAGAGCAGATTGTGAGGATGTCTCAGGCGGGGCGCTGGTTTCAGCACCCCTAAGGGGAGCCGCCAGGGGTGGTTGCACGGGCTCGTTCGCTGCCATTTTGAGGGATGTCTCAGGCGGTTTGCTTGTTGCTGTGCTCAACATCCTTCGCTTGGAGAGCAGATTGTGAGGATGTCTCAGGCGGGGCGCTGGTTTCAGCACCTAATGGGAGCCGCCAGGTTTTTGCACGGATCGTTCGCGCCATTTGTGGGGTGTCTCATCGGTTTGCTGTTTTGGGGATCACATCCTTCGCATTGGAGAGCAGATTGTGAGGATGTCTCAGGCGGGGCGCTGTTCCAGCACCTGAAGGGAGCCGCCAGGAGTGTTTACACGGGCCTCGTTCGCGGCCGTTTTTTTGGATTTCTCAGGCGGTTGCTTTGTCTGGGCCTAACTCCTTCGCTTGGAGAGCAGATTGTGAGGATGTCCCCTCATAGCGCAGCGCTGGTTTCTAACATCCCTAAGGGGAGCCGCCAGGGGTGTTTGCACGGGATCGTTCGCGGCCATTTTGTGGGGATGTCTCAAGCGGTTTGCTTGTTTCTGGGCTCAACATCCTTCGCTTGGAGAGCACATTGCGAGGATGTCTCAGGCGGGGCGCTGGTTTCAGCACCCGTAAGGGGGGCCGTCAGGGGTGTTTGCACGGGCTCGTTCGCGGCCACTTTGTGGGGATGTCTCAAGCGGTTTGCTTGTTTCTGGGCTCAACATCCTTCGCTCGGAAAGCTGATTGTGAGGATGTCTCAGGCGGGGCGCTGGTTTCAGTACCCCTAATGGGAGCCGCCAGGGGTGTTTGCACGGGCTCGCTCACGGCCATTGTGCGGGGATGTCTCAGGCGGTTTGCTTGTTTCTGGGCTCAACATCCTTCGCTTGGAGAGCAGATTGTGAGGATGTCTCAGGCGGGGCGCTGGTTTCAACCCCCCTAAGGGGGGCTGCCAGGGGTGTTTGCACGGGCTCGTTCGCGGCCATTTTGTGGGGATGTCTCAGGCGGTTCGCCTGTTTCTGGGCTCAACATCCTTCGCTTGGAGAGCAGATTGTGAGGATGTCTCAGGCGGGGCGCTAGTTTCAGCACCCCTAAGGGGAGCCGCCAGGGGTGGTTGCACGGGCCCGTTCGCGGTCAGTTTGTGGGGATGTCTCAGGCGGTTTGCTCGTTTTCATGCCCAACATCGCCGGCGGGGCTGCGCCTCCAAAAATAGTGAAACGCGCCCTGGGGAACCAGGGCTGAAGAGGAAGAGGGGGAGGAAGAGGAGAAGGAGGAGGAGGAGGAGGAGGACTGGGGGAGGAAGCAAGGGGATCAGGACGATGAGGTGAAGGATGACGACAAGGATGAGGAGGATGATGTCTAAGAGATTGAGGACGAGGAGGAGGATGGCGTGAGCGAGGGAAATGACAGGAACGAGGATGAGGGGGAGGAACAGGAGGAGGAGGAGGAGGAGGCGGGGGATCGTGAGGAGGGGCAAAACATATATCATAGCAGAATGGATCCGCTCGTGGAGCAAACATCTATCATAGATAAATGCTCACCGTGGCACTACCCTCCAACATGACATGCACTTATGGCCTTGTGTGGCTAAACGCTCGTCTTACATCCAACTATCCTAAAACATATGCACATATGGGAAGCTCCAAAGCTACCACGGGCTGACAAGGGAAGGCCTGGCAGCTGAGGAGGGGGGATGAAGAGGAAGAGGCTCGCATTCAACCATACTCAAAGCTAACTCTGACTCATACGCAATCACTCGCATTAGGGGTCACTCGTCTTCGTCGGCCCTGTCGCCCACGTGGACGCGCTATTGTAGTCGACCGCTCATGGACAGACGCTCACCACGGCATGACATAAAACATGAGATGCACATATGGGGAACTCCACGCAGTGAGTAATTTTGTTGTCGATACGCTGTCTCCAGAAGTCGCGACCCTCCCCCTGGGGCCGGCTTCTCAGTCAGAGCCGTTTTCTCACAGCCACGAAGCCTGGCGAAGGCCCCCTCCTGCGGCCGAAAACGACAACAACAACAACAACAACAACAACAACAACAACAACAACAACAACAACAACAACAATTACTAGCACGTGGGGACACTCCGTTCTCACCAGTGCCAGGTTTTCATAGGAGGCGGGCAATACCCCCACTTTGTGGGGGGGCCGGTTCAAGCTCACCAAATTTCCAAACGACTCTTCGCCACCACCCACACCCAGCTTCCCGCCCTATGACGTTCGGACACTTCACTTCGTGGCATGCGGACGACCGTGGCTACTATTCAGGGCCCCGCGGCCGACGACGACGTCGTGCGCGCGCGAAGAAAAAACGAATGTGTCCCGCATGGTATTATTTGACAGGGATGATGGCCCTGGCAGGTGCGCAACCGTTGTCGCAGAAGTTCGAAAAAGTTGCTCGCAAAAGCCCGTTTGACAGAAATTTTTAAAAAGTGTTGGGTTTCCTACGAATCCGCAAGAGCGCGCGGGATGAATTTTTGACTATTTTTAAAATATAAAAAAATGTTTTTTGATGTTTTTATGTTAAAAGCGTTACGAAAACTAAGGTTTTGGAAGGATTTCGTCTTGCGCGCGCGAATGTCCACTTTACCTTATTTTTTGCAAGGGATTCTTGAAGTTTGGATATGTTAGAACAAGAAATGTCCACTTTAACTGACTTTTTGCAAGGGAAAACCGATCGTAACAACACAACCGGATCTGGTACACATCGTTTTGCCTGAGGCTTCCTCACGAAAATGATGAAAATGCGGCTGCGGCCTAGGCGCGGCGGGGGGGTCGTGCACCAGAGGTCCCAACAATAATTATTCTTAAGAAGAAATAATGTTCAACAACAACAACAACAACAACAACAACAACAACAACAACAACAACAACAATTACTAGCACGTGGGGACACTCCGTTCTCACCAGTGCCAGGGTTTTCATAGGAGGCGGGCAATACCCCCACTTTGTGGGGGGGCCGGTTCAAGCTCTACCAAATTTCCAAACGACTCTTCGCCACCACCACACCCAGCTTCCCGCCCTATGACGTTCGGACACTTCACTTCGTGGCATGCGGACGACCGTGGCTACTATTCAGGGCCCCGCGGCCGACGACGACGGCGTGCGCGCGCGAAGAAAAAACGAATGTGTCCCATATGGTATTATATGACAGGGATGATGGCCCTGGCATGCGCGCAACCGTTGTTGCAGAAGTTCGAAGCACGTGAAAAAGTTGCTCGCAAGAGCCCGTTTGACAGAAATGTTGAAAAAATATTGGGTTTCCTCAGAAATCCGCAAGAGCGCGCAAGATGAATTTTTGAAACTTTTTTTTTTGAAAAACCATTGGGTTTTTCATGTTTTTATGTTAAAATCGCTACGAAAACTAAGGTTTTGGAAGGATTTCATCTTGCGCGCGCGAGTGTGCACTTCGTGTCATTTTTGCAAAGGATTCTTGAAGTTTGGTTATGTTAGAACAAGACATGTCATTTTATATTGTTTTTTTGACAGGGAAAGCGGGCGTCAACAAAACAACCGGATCCGGACTCCCCCGTTTTGCCTGAGACTTCCTCACGAAAATGATGAAAATGTGGCTGCGGCCTAGGCGCGGCGAGGGGGGCGTGCACCAGGGGGCCCAACAATAATTATTCTTTAGAAGTAATAATATTCAACAACAACCCGCCCTGTCTCTTCAGGACCCCAGAGCTTGGGCGTCGCTCAGGAGGGGGGGGGGGGGGCGCTACAAGTGGGGGGGGGGGAAAGATGATGGGCCGATTTTGCACCACCGCTACCACAGTTAGTAAGGGAGGAGGAGAGGAGGGGAGGAGGAGGAGGAGGAGGAGGAGGAGGAGGAGATGAGGAGGAGGCGGAGGAGGAGGAGGAGGAGGAGGACCTGATTGTCCTCCCGTCTCCTCCGTTTTACTTATGGTAGTGGTGGTGGAAATCCCACCAGCCCTTTGGGCGTGAGTGGTTTAGCGAGCTCTCCCTGTTCGCAACCCCCCTTCTTCCCCTTCGGGGAGGGGTTTACCCCTCCCCCTACCCCCTCCCCCTGGACCTGGAGAGGGGGTTTCGCGGGTGGTCAGAGGGTCCTTTTTCTATCCCTGGGAGGGCTAAAATTCGACACCCCTCACGAGGATTCTGGCCCCGACGGGGGGGGGGAGAAAAATGCTCCCCCCATCTGTGATCGATCGCCCGACAGATGGCCCCAAGATTCCCCCCAGACCCCTCCAAGAGGCCTCCAAGAGGCCTCCAAGAGCCCCCAAGAGGCCTCCAAGAGGCCCCCAAGATGCTCCCAAGAGGCCCCCAAGAGGCCCCAAGAGGCTCCCCCGAGGCACCCAAGACGCTCCTGGAAGCCCCTGGAGCCGCCAAGAGGCCCCCAAGACGCCCCAAACGGCCTCCAAGAGGCTCCCAAGAGGCCCGAAGAAGCTTCCCCAAGGCACCCAAGACGTTCCTAGAAGCCCCTGGGGCCGCGAAGAGGCCCCCCAGACGCCCCAAAAGGCCTCCAAGAGGCTCCCAAAAGACATCTACTACTACTACTACTACTACTACTACTACTACTACTACTACTACTACTACTACTACTACTACTACTACTATT